TTTCCAAAACCAGTGTCTGTCTGAGGACCTAACGCACAGTGCTGCAGCAAAGCACACCCTAAGGAAAGCTTTACCTCTGAGCGCTTCCTGGTAACTTGCCAGCCAGTGACAGGTTCATCAATAATGATAATGGCTTTTTGTCAAAGAAAACTACTGCACTGAGCCACAGACTTGCTCAACCCTGTAGGAATCAAAGTAACCGGCATCCTCGTAAGGAAAGTTGAGACAGGAACATGACTTCTAATGGAAAGAGCTGACTAACAAAAGAAATAGAAGGATTAAGCTCCCTTTGCTGAAAAGCAGAAGCAGGTTTTCGATCGGTGAAGTCTGTCACCTCCTTAACAACTGAGAAACGAGGATTCAAGCCCCAACTTCACTATACCTCACTGAAAAATCTATTGACTGCAGGCTACGACACAGCAGTTCATATCTCATTTGTCATAAATAGAGCATATTGCAGCTGCCTCTGCAAATATTATCAATAATGAAAATTTGTATTAAGGTTGCACCCAAACCCCCATTACTGGATAGGTTTCACATGCTTAAAGCCAGTGGCACCTTTGCTAAAGATTGCTGCAAGGAGCCGGCAATCCTGTTGCTACAAGAACAAAAACGTATACTTAAGATTTTAAGGTTACTGTACACATGGGCTTCCTACTTTTCTGCATGGAAATCAAGAGGGGCAGATTTGGGGGATTTTCCATGTTTAGGACATAGTCATGCTTCTGACTATCCCCTCAGTCATCAAACTGGTCATAAATCAACCAGAAAGCTCTGCCGAGCCCCTCGGGAAGAGGGGAGGCTCATTGTTTATTTGCTATACATTTCACCTGTGTGCACATGGGAAGTCTAACACATCTCAAATGTACCTGCGTGAGCCATCTTCACTGACACCTCTGGTACACAGCATCTGGGCATGTATTTCTGCCTGGGAAATAACACGGAGAGATCGAGTAGCTCCAGTTTAAAGGAACTGGGTAAAAGTACTTTGAAGTGAAATGCGTGTGCCTGTGACAGACAGAAGAGACAGAGACAGACAGAAAGAGACAGACAGAAGGAGAAGGAGAGATGTCAGAAAGAGACAGAGAGACAGACAGAAGGAGAAGGAGAGATGTAGGAAAACAGAGAGACAAAGACACGCAGAGAGAGACGAACAGAGAGAGAAATCAAGTAGTACAGGAAGAGAAACAAAGCATGGCGGACAGAAAAATGGGAAGCAGAGGGCGGAACAGGGGGAGCACAAGGAGAGGGATCTTTGTGACCCTCAGTGACATGGAGGGGTGAGACATGGGAAGTGGGGAGAGAAAGGGGGATGGAAATTGGGAGAAAGGGAGCTGGAGGGACAGAGAAAGGGGGTGGACACAGGCAAGACAGACAGAAGGGTAATAGAGGGCATGGGGCTTGGGGGGGGAGCAGAGAAAAGAAAGATGAACAACATAGATGGAGGAGTGAAGTGTGGCACAGAGAAAGTGTTCGGTGCCACAGCCCCAAAACTGGAGGTGAACCTTTTCTGGGCAGCTGAAACAGGTGAGGTGCAAACAGCAATGCAACTGACTCCGGCTGCTCACGTACTCCTGGTTCTGATGAGAAGCTAGCACTTCCTTTAAAAATAAATGTAACATCATCAACATACATACACAACTCCTTTACACATCACCTTGTCCTAAGAGGAAAAATTATACATAATTGTGGTTACCTGCTGAGATCTAAACAAATAAGATACTTAACCTGGACTGGAGACCTATTTGCATTAAAATAGCTAAGATGTTGGATTCACAACATTACATTAACACAGGTGTAAGACAACCACTACATTCAAGCCTGTGATCCAAAAAGCAAACAGGGTTTGGCTGGACAATGAATATTTGGGAGAAAGATCAACACTTTTTTTTTAGTGACAATTTAAAACTGATGTTCAGACATTCTGAGACAGAAGTAAAGCAGAAGCACGGAAGGGATGGGGCAGTGAGGAAGGGTAAAGTCAATGCAAAGAACTGGGACGGTCATTCCACATCACCCGCTGGATCCTGACATTTGATATATACCACAGCAAGTGTGAGATATTCTTGCTCTACACACAAAACCAATATGGGTACAACCGAGGTACGGTGCTAAACTGGTGGCACTTGTGTATGGAGCTACTATCTCTGATTAAGATGCACCTAATCCCACACATCAATCCTAGTCAGCAGGTTAAAGGTGCCTGCAACAGCTTCTGCCAATTCCCATGGTTTGGCTTATTTATAATTATCAGTCCATTCTGCCTCTGCATTACATTTAGGAAAACAGAAGCTACCACTCCAAACAAAAAATGTATGGAGCTATTTCAAGAGAGCTACAGTGTGTGCCAGTCATGTAAATGTGAAAACTACAAAACAGGGATACTGCAATTATCCAAACCCCAAGCATGCAAAAACCATGAAATTTCAGGATTATATTTAAACATAACTTGAATATGCTAATATCCTTAACTCGGCCCTGATGAAACACTAGAAGAAAAGTAGGTAAAAATACATGGAAAAACCCACACAGGTGTTTTACAAAGCAATCTATTCTAATCAGGGACAGAAACGCTAAAGCACTGTAATCCTGCTCAGACAGGTCTGCAACCATTTTTCAGGGCTACTGATAGAGTACAGCACAGAAATTTAGCCTTTACCCTTTAGAATTATAACCGTGACAGCTACCTAAAGGATTTCAGTGCATTAAAACTAACTATTGCAGTTAAATGATTTGTTTATGTAGGACAGAGTTAAGGTTGGTGATATCAGAATAAATATTGCGACAACGTAAACAGCTTGGAACAACTCTGGTACTCATTTTCTTCAAGTTAAACATCCAGACTAAAATGAAAAAAGGGTAAACTCTGTCATTCTCAATGTAGTGAAAGCACTACAATTTGATAAACAGATACGTCAGAGCCTTGCCTCCAGGGAAGCCTCCTTCACTTCGCAGATGGGACAGTGGGACTGACCATGAAGTCACTTGTCAGACCACACAGCAGGTCAATTCAAGAGTGGATGGAGATATCCTGGGAGGAGTTTTATGGCTTACAGTTGTATGAATGCATCCAGACTTAGCTGAGCCTAGAGCAGGAGCCCCAGCCTCAAGCAAACTTCCCTCTCAATCTGCTAACCTTCTACCGCTTGCCCACGTGCTCTACTTTTCCTCGGTACTATTCACTTTATCTTGCCTCCCTCCTATCACAACAGTATCTTTTTCTAATTTGCCTCTAAATCCTGATTGTCATCACCTTCAGTCCCACTGATGCATAGGAACTATGCATTCTCTCCTCTTCCTGGAGTGTGAACTGATCTTCACAAGATTTCTCATGTGAAGACATTTCTTCTTTGTGGAGCCTCAGGAGTGAAATGCACAAATACAGATAAGCTGTAACTAGGACTTAGGTCACCCTACAGCATGCTGAGCAATGTTCCTTTTTTAATTGAAGAGGGCTACTTAGGGTAGTTGCTTCCTCCAAATCAAAGATCTGTACAACCACTGCTTTGTGCAGCATCTTAAACTAAATGGCCTCCCTTATTCTCCAACACTTCCTTCACCCTATGGCTTCTTTAGGAGAATTGGAAGAAATAGCCCTTGCTTGATTGTTCTGCTCTGCAGTTACTTGGTAACTGGAGGGAGCCCAGATCTGATTACCCTAAGACAGCACCTGACCTTGAGAAAATAATTCCAGCTTTCATTGTCAAAGGAGCAGAGAGACATTGGTGCTGTCATGAGCTGCACAGCTCAGACATGGGTTATCTGCTATGAATATTTCGGGACCTTATTTTCCCTGGTTGTAAAGTAAATGCAAACTAGTAACCTATTTCATACAGGCATCTAAAAACTCACTGCACTCATGTTTGCAAATGCTTTCTGGAAATGGCCTAAGGAAAAGCAAAGTAACCATATTTTTAGTAAGTTTGACTGGTGCACCTAGCTGTCATTTTGGTGCCTGATTAGTGGCAATAGGCAGTTTTCTATTTCTTTCCAAGCAGCTGCTAGAGAAGAGCTGCAGGCAGATGTAATCTGGAGACTGCAGAACTCTGCTCGCTGTCAATTTCACACCAGCATTTTAATTTCTTCTATCCCCATTTATTATTAATCTGTATTTATATCTAACTCTAGCTCTTAGTTAGCCTTTGCCAGAGGCTTAACCATTAGACGTAACTGTGAGGAAGGAGGGGAAAGAAGAAACTGCCATAAATCAGGCTTTTACCACTCCATATAATTATGGGGAGGTGAGAAACCGTGCAAAGCTTGAGCTATTTAGGAAGACAATACCTTGCACAGTAGATCAGACCAGGGCAAGTCTCCTTTATCCTTAGTGCTAAATATGACAAGGAAACGTCCCTATCACAGAACTTTCCTTCTAATCATGCTCAGTTCCTACTTTTTACAGGGCTTTATATCCTCTTTTAAATTTCTATCCGTTCTAATTCAGAGGATGTTCTTACACTTCCTGTTTTCTGAATCCGCTAAGCTCTCAGGCTCAGTAAGACCACGTCACATTTGTTCCAAATAAGCACTGTATAAAAGCATATGTTTTCTATCAGCTTTCCATGCATTGCCTTTTCATTTAAGAGCAAGACCACACTCAATTATGAAAAGATAAACAGGAGTACCTGATTCCTTTGTTCTCTCCAAAGTAAACAATTTTAATTTAAGCAGCAGAATTAATACCATTTATTTTCTACTCATGATTTTCTTTTTAAGGCTTCAAATCTCTTTTCATCTCTTGCCTATTTCTTTTATCCCTTTTGAAAAGGACTGAACAGTGTGTTCCAGGTGAGACAACACCATTCATTTAATGAAGGCATTCTATTATTTTCCAGACCATTCCTTACCCATCCTGACAATTTTGCTCACTTGTTTTGTTCACTTTACTGTAAATGAGAAGCCTGCTCAGTGTCATCTTTCCTTTAGAGGTAAGATGAATGTAATTCATTGCAAAGACTGTCCATAAGTTTTCCAAAATGGAGACAAAGATGTCACGTATACGTGCTGTGTATGATAAAGTTTCCCACAGCAATGTGAGAGGCATTCAATTTATTGCACGCTTTCCCCAAATGTTCCCATATATCCAGACAGCCTGCAATCCTAAGAAACACTCTAGGCTTCAGATTAGACTCTTCCCCAAGTCTTCTCCAGCAAAAGTAGCTTCAGCAGTCTACCCGGCCAAAGCACAGTATCATTTTACTCTGCTTGACATAAGCATTATTGTCTTTAAGCATCCAGTCGGAATGGGAGTGTCGTTAGGAACTCAGAGAAGTCATCTTCCACTTCTTCAGTATTCAATCATAATGAAGGCTCTTCAGTGTTCCTCCTCCAAACCTTTTCCTTTCAGAGAAGCCAGGAATCTAGAGACAAGAAACGTAAGTTGTCATGTCAGAATCAGCATGAGCTCCCACTAGCCCACATTCGAGTCCCTGTTACCAAGCCAACTGCAGCTATGCCTTCCTCTTCCACGCTGCCTCCAGAATCAGGACTAAAATGCTTCAGTTTACTGCTCGAGGAACACCATCCATTAAATGAGATGCAAAACTTGAGTATGGCTCATTTGTTCTATGAAGCTCCTTAAGGCTTTTTGGCAAGGGTTACAATGAAAGCCTTAATTTCTTGGGCAAATCCTAAACCAGTTAATTACAGATTTCAAAGTCCGTATTTCCCCCCACATTCAAATGCATACAAGAATTTCTCCTCCATTCATCTTTAAAACTATTAAATAGTATTATCAAGTTCTGTTAAACAGCTGTTGAGACTTTATGCCTTCTAACCTGAGACAGCAGCCCTTCACTGGTAGTTGAAAGTACAGTTTTATCAATTGCTGAAAGCTTTAAGAAAACCATCAGAATAAAAGTGGCTGCAACAATGCAAAGGATTAGCACTCCTGCTTTTGCAGCCAATCTGTAGACGCTGCTTACACCGTGACAATGAGTGCTTACAAAGAAAGTCTACTTGAAACCATCAGAAACTTCTCTGGCTTAAGGGTATTTCAAACAGATTTGCAATCCGATGCACCTGTGAATCCCCCATAAGAAAGAGATGCACTGCTTTCTAATACCATGTGTCTGTCCTATTGGTGGCATCATAAAATTATTTGATTACAGTCCAGAATAACTTTTAGATATCTAACTGCACACAAGCAGAAACAGCAGACCCAGTAAACACATCCTCCCAAAACAATTCCATACTCTCATAGGAAATACAGTATATTAAAATGGAAGGCGTCAACCAAGCACTACAAATCACGCCAGGAGAACATGGGCATGTATGGATGGTATAGGATGAAAATGTAATTTATAATACAGAGTAGATTGCTTAGGTTACATACTTCATTGGTAAACTGAGAAAGCTAAAGAGCTTACCCAAAATAAAAGTCCACTAAAAAAGCACAACCTAAATTTAGTTAGGGTTTTCAGGCCCAAAACTCAGACAGATATGCACGGTATTCATTCAGGAATTGTTTTGTTCATCTCTGAAAAGCAATCATCTCTAAGGGTAAAATCAGGCAGATTTTGCACAAAGGTTCGTCTCATCAAAACTGCTTTGGGAATTCGAAAAGGAAAAATGCAATCATTATAACGAAAAAGTAGCAGGACACCATAGCTAAAAACTTATCTGCTTTAGCTTTTTTTATATCAAAGTCACTAATTAAGAGTAACAATTATTTATCAGAGATCTGATTGAAGTCGTAGCTACAATTTGAAACTTATCATTCTTTTCATCCTGAAGAAGTCTGTAATAGAAATACCTCAAAACACGAGTGATCGAAGAGACCTATCGTAGAAAACCCACAAATACATTCGTAAGATTTACATTAAGTAGATAATTTCAAATAATAACATTAAGAGGTCACAACGAAATCTCCAGTTCCCATCTGGATTTTGTCTCTTTAAATATGACTGTCCACTACTTGAGATTTGTTTTAAGCTTTTGAGCTGTTTTCAGTGAGGCAGATGAAAGTAGTCATCAGAAGGCTGTAATCTTTGGCACGCGGCCATGAGAAATATACAGTTAATCCCTGGCTAGCCACTAAAAATGATCAAATAAGAAGAGTAACATTCTTACATCATGCATGAAAGACAATCAGCACACAAGCAGATTTCTGCATTAAGCTATCATCCCCATGAAAGGGAGACTTCCTTTCACTAGAATGTGGGGAGGAGGGGAGAGGGGAAGAAAAATGGCATCATGCAGAACTGAAAGAGGAAAAAGCAAATTTATTTTTAAAAGGCATAAAAAAACGCTCAAAGAAAGTAAGCATTTTGTAATTCATGACTATTTTTTCCCCACTCTCCCTAAGGGGCTTTCAGCACAGATACATCTAATGATACGTTCAATTGTATTTCAGTGGTGCCATTCATGGTATTTTGCAAGCACCGCACAGATACGGTAAGTGGAACCTCGCTACTCCCCACATAGTAAACTGCACATGGGAAGGTGGGGGGCACAAAAAGTTGAAGTGGCCTGCCCAAACCAGGAGAGTCCTTTTGTTAGTTCTTCACCAGCTGTACTGAAAACAGTTAACTCAGCCATTTAGGAATTAATTACAAGCTGGTATCATACTGCCACTTTCCTTGTGGCTCCACTGGTTCTATGAAAACTACCTGTACAAAACATCAAATGCTAGTCCCAGCTGTGCAAAAAAAGCCTTTTCATTGACCTTCAGGACAGCATCTCTGGCCTAAATCTGCAACCAAGCAGCCTGAAGCTGACAGATCTGAAAGAGATCATATTTGCCCATTTTACCTCACTCTTGCAACTTCTACTATGTTAGCATACTTAATTATTACACTGCCAATCACATTACAAACACTTCCACTGACAAGAGTCAGCCATTTTTCTGTCTATCCAAAACAGCTGTGCTCCCACAGATTTAAAAACTCAATTACCAGCATAGATTATCATTTAAGTCACATGAAGCCCATGTTTTAAAGAGGACTCTGTCAGCAGTTCCCATCACACAGGGAGAAACAAAACAAAAAAGGAGGAAAAATGACAAACCTGATTGCCATCTCTCAAGAAGTATCTCTTCTCTATGACCTGGGAAAAACAGAGAATGATCTCAGCTGGCACAGCATATGCATAACCTCAGATGCCAATCAACACTTCACACTGGGACAAGGTCTGAACCCATGTCCCCTGCTCCAGGCCTATTGCTTTAAGTGAAAAGCTCTATTACACATAGAAGGAGTTGCCACCTCCAGCAATTCTTAGTAAAGCTGTGTTATCCCCAACTTCTACATGTCTAATTTAGTTAGCCCTCTTTAGTAATGGAGGTGATGGTTTGGGTGTCTCCTTACTGCATCAGTGTCAGTTATTGCCACCCCTCTTTGCAGGCACAGCAGTTCTGAGCACTAGCAAAAGCTCATTCTGCAGGTGCATAACAACTCCAGTGGTTCCGAGTAGCCCCTGGGCATAGGTGATGCTTGAGAAGAGGTAGCCTGGCTTGCTCTCTGAGAATGATGCACAAACTGTCTGTCCTGTAGGATATCTATGGAGGCAGTACTGTCAATCCAAGAATCAAAAAGTGATTTGTATCACCCTGTACGACCTATGCCCTCCTCCAAAGAAAATTCAGGCCAAATTTCCTCTAAAGCATGATGTGTTACAGGAGGTGATCAGCTCTACTATGATTTCTTTGTCCAGGGGATGCTTAAACCAGAGCATTCCTTCTGTCATTTTCACAGTAGGCCTTGATGCTCTCTTGCGCAGGAAGGGAGAGTAATATGCCAAATTTCTTAATTCCTAAGGTTTGCTTTAACCAGGAGCAACAGAGCTAACCATAGTCTTGTAACTCCCCACATTACCACCTTAGCACACTGCAAACCCTCTGGCCTGCCAAAGGACTCCAAAAGCATATGCAGAGTGTCTTTGCACATCTGTGAGTTGTGTTTCATTGCTCTATGCAGATCAAGAATCAAACCTTCAAGCAGATCAGCTATTTTCTGGAAGTTTCCAAAAGCAGACCAATCTTTGGCGTCCCCACACCTGGCTTGAACCAACTCAAAAAATGGAATGTGAAAGGAGCAGCTATCTGCTGTTCCATGTTCACATCACAGACAGCGTTCAATCCATAGAACAATAAAACATAATTTAATTGACTTGATTTACCTTATCAAAAAACCTGCTTAGCTTGACAGCATTGGATGAACCTGCAGCCAGGTAACGAGGATTGGTGCAATCCTAGAACACACAAAAGACAACAACAAACCAAACACAAAGAAATCAATGCAAGGAAGCCATACACGTGGAAATCAACATACCCTTTCCCCTGACACATGCACATGGGATCAGTTAAGGAAAACACTGTATATCTGCTGATTTCTGCTCCACAGTCATTTGAGAGAAAAGCCCAACTTCTGTTCTGTGAATCAACCGGAGAATTCTAAGTGCCCCGCTATGTGTTCCACATCTTCCTTCTGCCACCAGCTATACAGTCAGCTAATAATTTGTACAGGCTACACAGTGCTTGTGTGCATATATACAAGCACTCACACAGCACGTGTATTTTTATACATATATATACACATTATATATACATAAAAAGTGATCTTGATGTTTCATTCAAAGATAGTCTGTGTCAGAACTAAGAACAGGGAAGAGAAAACTTAACTCCCAACCACCAATTCTAAGCTTCAGTGACCTTATCTAACACTGCCTATACCTCCCTATAGTGAAACAAAGACGATCGTTTCATCAAGCAAGGGGGACGGCCAATCAAAATGTGCATGACTCCAGCATTACTGAGAAAATGTCCAAAAGCCCAGTTTTTGTAACAACATCTCTACTTACTAAAAATCGGAATCATTCCCATATAAAAGAAAAACAACACTGGTGACAAGGATACGAACCAAATTTATCTCTTCGGCATTGAAATCCTCAGCCAAGAAAGCTGTTCTAGTCAAAACTTCATTCCGCTTAGTTTCTGGGATCTGATCCAGCTTTGTTCCTATTACCAGCAGCGGAATCTGGTTATCAGCAAACTGTTCACGGTCATAGTCACTGATGAGGGGAAACAAATACAATTCCAAATGAAGCGATGGTCATGTAAATGGGCACAGGGGTGCCATCAGCTCCCCTGTCCGTTTCAAGTAACGGTCATTTATTTATTAAGGGTCATTATTTATCTAAGTGAGAATGTGCTGTATCTGTAAATTAAGGAAGGGCTTCTGCATCTAAGTCACTACACAGGGATTGAAAGGAAAGAGAAAAGAAACCACATGAGCTGCATTTCTTCTCGGCATAGATGAACTGCAGAAGAAATGCTAACACAAGGAGGAAAGAAAGAGGAATTCCAGTACTGTACCAAGTGTGTGCAGCCACCAGAGACCGATCAGGGAGCTGGCATCTCTGAAAATCTAAAGTCCCTACACATATACACTTTTTAAGGAGGGACAATGGAATAAATTGCAACTGTGAAACACTACCCCTTTCCACCTTAGATCAATGAGGGTTGCAATAACAATTCTGTGGCGGCAAGTTACTAATTCTTCTACATTCAAGTAAAGGTAGCAACTACAAGCTGAATGCCAACAAGCTTTCATTCAGATATGAATAATGATCAAAGATAGCCTTTATAAAATAAATAATATTGCAATTAAATGTCCTCACAAATCCAAGCTCCAATCATTCCCCTCACACTTGTCTTTCATTTTTACCTGAACCAAGATCTCTAGAAAGTAACTTTACAACCAACAGCAACAACTTGACCAAGCAATTGCTAGTGGCTGAGCATCTGTCCCTGACAGAAGTTAAGCTTTTGAAAATTAAAACAATTGTGAAGAACCTGTATGTGGAAAAACTGGAGAAGTTTGCAGTTTATATAGTGCAAACCCTCCTTCCCTTCTCCCATGTTTCTACAGAAACGCCTGTGTACCAGCACAGGCAGATAAACAATTGATATTCTTCCCACAAAAAGCTACCCCTTATTATTGCTTCCCTGCTCATGTGTGAGGTTTATCAATTATCTTAAAACCTCCTTGACTACGTGTATAACCGGAGCATGGAGATACAGGAGGAAACACTTGACAAGATGTTGGAAAGCTAATTATGAACATGCTGTTTAAGCAGAGTTTTCCAAGCTCTTTTTTAGCCACACTCCTGAAATAATTCCCTCACCACCCAAAACAAAAAATAATTAAGTGAACTTCCTCAGTCTTGGTGCACTGAGGGAAAGCCTTTTGGAACAGAGACACGCCAGCCCATGACACTTCCTGTACAAGGGCTTTGCATGTCTCAGTACGGACACAGAAGACTTCAGGTATCAGGGACTGGACCCACTCTCACAGATGCCTCAGACAAATGAAGGACGCAGTAAACATCTTTTCCATTAAAGCAAGGTCTCTGCCATACAGTTTGGGAATCTACTGGCAGAATGGCCTGATTGGCAGTGTAAAACAAAAGAACAGTGGTTTTCTTTGATATCCATTTTTTTCTTTCTTTTTTTTTAAAAGTCTAGCCACATCTAATTTCATATGGCCTTCAAGTAGCCTTAGGGATGAACAAAGACTTCCATAACAGCTTGGAATTACTGCGTCTTAACCCTGCACATGTTTTTCACTCACCCATTTGTCACGAGAACTCCTGTTGGAGCGACATCTCTGTTGAGTGCTTCCAAAGACCAGCGATACAAATTCTGGGATGATTTCTTGTTGGTTAAGTCATGCACTAAAATTATTCCTAAAGTGAAAGAGAAGGCAGCAAGATGCTATTTAATGATATATTTTTTTTTCATTATCTTACCAGAATGACATCTGCAGGTTCCCAGATATGTGAGAATGAAGAAAGGGAAATAAAACCAGTTCAGTTACAGTGAACGAGTAAAGCTGAAAATATCAGTATGCAACAGGTTTTTTAAAGCTGCTTATCAGGAATTGGATAAGAGCTAAGAGAAAAATCTCATGAAAGGAGGAAATGAACAGCCACCTCAGGGTTCAACCTGCAAGAGGCTTGCAGGCATTCCCTGATTCTGCTCTGTCTAGCCCTAATGATACTGAAACTCTGTATTACTGCAGCAGAGAATTTAGCCTCTCTCCGTTTTACCTAATTGGTAAACATAGCTATCTTTTTGTCACACCATCTAAGAAGTCTAAAGGCTGTTTCTTTGTTTCAAAGAGTTTAGAGAGCACTATTGCTTTCCTGCATTTTCAAGAACTAATGCTACATACTTGGGGAGGTATCCAAAGGGGAAACAGATTCTGATAAACTTTCACAGTCCACCAAATGGCTGGTAGAAACATGAATTAATAAGATTTAATGTATTTAAGATTAAGCTTCTAGCATTTTTCATTACCATGATCCTTCAAAATGTAAAATCTAAGATAGAAAAACAGCCAGCCAAACTTCCTAGCTGTGCTATTAACAGACACCCACTTCTGATAACCACAGTTCCTAACTCAATTACCAATTCCTGCTAGCAAATTTCTTCTATTTATTCACACCTTCTGCAACCTGTGGAATGTTCCCACTTCCTCCAGACTTCAAACCATCATTAATTCAAGGACAAAATGGAATTATACCCCTTATCTTCATCAGGATTTGTTCTCAGCACACTTCACAGCCCACAGGTGGAGAAAACTTATTAATTTAATCTTTCACCTTAACTCCAAAGGTGCCACCCACTGTACAAACTATGAACACACCACATTTCCACAACCATTCTCCACTACCCCACACGACTGTGCACAGACTCTCCTGTGAGAGTTCCCAGCATATCACATAGCCCTATTTCAAAGCATTTGTCTCAGTAACAGCATAAAAAGGCAACTCAACTGCGTGTCCACCCCCAGCGTAGGGAGAAAAAGCCTGATACAACATAACTTGGCCTACGGTAACAGATTCAGAGGCACTGCCGCATCATCTGTGGGAAATGCTCTCCACCTCCAGACACTCTTCCTCGGTTCTGTTTTTGATTGGTCAGTTCCCTTATCTGCTTCATGGAAAACCTACACAGTTAGTTGCACCAGCAGAAAAAGACTATGTCAACATCAAAAAAGGGCAGGCAGGACCAATGACTACTCAAGGAAATGTTCCTCCCCCATTAAGGTCTGCAAGCCACAGCCTTACTGCCTAGTCACTGTCCTAGACTATCGGAGTCCACACACTAGATGCAGGGACACCAAAGCAGAAGATCTGCAGTCAAACCAAAAGCAAACCGTACCTAACCTTGTCAACAACCAGGTCTCACTGACAGCCTGCACAGATGCTGCCACAACCAAACATTAACTGTCTTTTGATCTCAGTTTTCAGACCACTGCAAGCCCAGAAAGCACAAGCAGTCAAGCAGAAGGAACGCATTCATCTTCTCGTCTTAAATCAGGTCAAACAGAGGCAATTTGTGAGACAAATTCCTCTAACGAAGGAATTAATGTAATGAAAGAAACCAGAGCCAAGGCTAACTACCAAAGTCAACAGTTTTCATATGCGAGCTGCCTAATAATATCTTTTGGGCAGTGGAGATAAATAACTATTTTAATACATCATCAATTATAATTCAGACACATAAGTTCAAGATTTCATCTCCTAATGGGCTGCTCTAAGATATTTCCAAGTCTAACCCATACTCACTGGCATACACTGGATGTGGTGTCAGAAAGAAATACATTTTTTTCATACACCAAAGAGGCTTGCTTTGAGGGCACAACTCAACTCAAACCTTATCTACAGAGGTCTGGTTAACAATATAAGCAAGAGGTACCTACAACACAGTTTTCTTCCTGGGAAAGGAGGAAGAAATAACTAGTTAAATAATCACAGAGCAAAAATGTTTATTGTATGGCTAAACACATTATTGAAAGGCCCTCAAATGACTGGGAACAAGAAATGAGAATCAAACAGAACATTTGAGACGAATTTTCAGAAGTGGTTGTTAATCTAGTATACATCTATTTTTAGTGAACTATCCTTGGATGCCAAAAAGTAACAATTGAAATACTGCATTATTAAGTTTATAATCTCTTATTTGCTCTTATTAGTGGTACAGATGAACTAGTAGGCTTTTAAGTCAGTATCTCAACTGAAGGCATAAAATACTACTTTCTATCTACAGCAAGTTGCAAGATTCAATTATTAAAAATAATTTTGGAAATTAAATGAGCAGAGGCATGATGGTTATCAGCACATTGCAATTTTATGAGAGAACAGTTCAAATTTGCCAGGGTAGGATATAACTATGAAAGGTCATATAAATTCAAATAATTATTTCCCTGCTGTAGGTTTTGGAACCAAACAGACAAGAAAATATAAATCATATTTCTGCATGTGTATCAGGCCTGGAAAGGTGAAGGCAACCTTTATGTCTGCAAGTGTAGCTGGAAGGGACCTCACTGCAACTTCAAAGACTCCCTGCTGTGCCAGCTGCACAAGACTGAAGTGAAAGGCTGATGAAGCTCATCTGCACAGGTTTGCCTAAAATAGCTTTCCAGTTCAAAACTGCATCCATAAAATTCCGCCTACGAATAGTATCAGGTTTTTTCCTGTATAAGTGTGCTGGAATCAGAAAAGAGAACAATATAGCCCTCAGCCAGACTTAAAGGAATCCTGCCCCAGAACCAAGAGACAGCTCGTAACAGAAACAGTGATAAAACCAGATTTACACCAAGCAAACTTACCGTTCAGCAAGTTATAAAATACTGCTCGTGTGCTTTTCACACTAGTGGCACAACCCACTGAACCTCCAACATCCCACAGCTCAATGTAGTAGGTCTTCTCTTCTGGAGTCCCTTCTTTGTAGTCATGGATCTGATGAAAAATTCACATCATACATAACCACCGCATCAGCTCACGGGAGTTAATCCACACAACACTTACACATTCAGCTGAAAGGATTATTGTACTTGGATAGAAATTTGTAAATTCTCATGTTGACACCATTTCAAATCTCTCAAGTAGAAGAGATGGAATGAGTCAAGCAGTGACCACTGGATACCACAGCTCTTATATGAGGTGGAGCTTGGTGAGTCAGCAGGGAGTATCCTTTCCACCTCAATATTAACAAACCTAATGCCTCATGATGTGCTTAGAAATGGCATGTTGCTAAAGCAGATGAAAAAGTAAGGTCATGACTTCTTACAGTTGTTAAAACCCAGGTGGTAGTACTGCAAGAATATTAACATAGGTGACCACATCAGATTCCAACTGACCACATCTTTTTCCTCTCCAAATTCTCATTGACTTCTCAACTGAATTAATCAATCAACAATTTTTGCCCCAGTATCTGCTAGGCAGTTTCGCTTCACAGTCAACCAGGATTGCCGCATTTCTTTCCCGAAACTTTGGAAATACATTTCAGCATTCTTTGAGGTGAAACTCATAGATAAGACAGGATCATTCCTAACCTATGGCAATGCATTTCAAGGAGAATGCAGCAAAGAGCAATGAAGGAAGAAAGCATTTATCACCACCCCATGAGGATTGTAGGTTGGGCCAAAAAACTATTAGATTAATATCATTATTCCTCTAATAGCAGGTCCTGCAATAAGCAGAGAGGAAGAGAAGCAATCCTATGGTCACGCTTAGTCTCCTCAAATTAAACAAGCAAATTGTTTTTCCCCAGTATGTTTGCCTGACAATTTAGCTGTGCATTAGTGTTTCTCAGGGAAGCGTGCTTTAAGTTCTGTGCCTTCTGACTTAAACTGGCCGCTCCATGACTTGTAACACACCAGTGGCCACTGTGGTAAGGAGAGGTGCTACAAATGACAAGTATCTTGTCAGCTTTTGACAACCTTCTAAGGTCAAAACTTGCTCACACAAGTGCTCGGCTCATATTTGATACTACTGACTTCAAAAGATTAAGCTCTCAGCAAAAGAAAACCCTGAAACACACCTTTCTGGGGCGAAAAGTAATGAAAAGAAGAAAAAAATGTCAAGGCCCTTCCCTTCCCTTACACGTTAAGCAAGGGCTACAAAGAGGTCTGGCACATCACCTACTCGAACGTCCACCGAGCAGCCCACTGTCCAGGACGGGTTTCCCAATACCTGGTTTTGGCATAAGAGGTGAACAAGCGAAGATTTTCCGACACCTGCAAGAGCACACAAAGGACAACTCCTGGGAGAACACACAAGGGCAGGTAAAAGGCCAAGAGGTGACAGGCAGAAGCACCAACTAAACGCGGATGGTCCCGACAGGGGCGGGTAACGGCCACCGGTCAGTGCCCAACGGCCGGGGCAAAGGGGGAAGGGGGGCAAGGAGCAAAGACCCAAGGGCCAGCGGGGGGGCCCGCACTCCTGGCCCCAGGGTACCG